ATTCAGTCAAGAAGATCCAGCGTTCAACATCCTAAACTGGAAACAATGTATTAAAAACACATCTGCGCCAACCTAATAGATGATGTAGGGCTGCGAGGCTGGTCAACAGATAGAATCTATTTACCCCGTAAGTCTTTGCCTAGGAGGCCTTCTACAAGACAGCAGCTGGATGCATTTAACATCTGCTCAAGATGAGTCTTTTTATTGAGACACCATCTCTTGTCTTTACTCAACCAAGAGCCCCAAGGCAGGGGGTGTTTTATATCGGAGTTGGCATCTCCTAGCCTTTGCCTAAAAATGGCGTATATAACAAGGCAGCATGTCATGAAGCAGATTGTACTGGGTTACCAGTAGCAGGATAAACCTGACCTGACATTTAAAATACTGTTTTATAATTTATAACAAAATATGTGTTGTAAATGGGTTTTTTTATGTTCATATTAAATATTTAAAAGTATTTTCATTTTACTTGTTAAAAAAGATTATCTGTATTAATTATCCATTAAGTTATCCATTAACTTTCACTTAACTCCATGAATTTATTTTGCTTACATAAAGGGCATCCAAGAATTATTATCCATGTCTAAAATAAATTTCCATGTCTAAAATTTCCAGTAATCCCATAATTTAAAATATGAAAATGGTTTGCTAATGTTCTTTTTTTTTTAATGATGATGAGGACAGGGGCGCACACAGGGTGGGAGATCCGGGTCGGTTTCCCCCGGGCATCACGTTTATGGGGCATCATCAGATGACAGAAAAAAAATTATCAGTATTCCAAATAAAAAATTGGAAACATGCAATAAAGAAGTGAAAATTGTTTACTTTGTTAACTTCATCCATCATTACAGAGAGAGATTTCAAACTCTGAAACAGCAGTTATTTTTTTTCATCTGTTCTACGCCTGACATCAATTCGGACTTAACAAACAGTCAAGAATCTCAAGTTAAAGATCTTGTACATCTGTATCCAAATGATCTTAGTGGAGACAATTTTATTGATGAGTTGCAGAACACTTTAGTCTGTTTGATGTCATCTTCTAACAGATGATCGGGCCTTAGATCTTCTGAATAACATTTGTGCAAGAGGATTTGAATGGAGTTTCCCTTAGATATGCATCTGTCTGCATATCATACTTACTTTGCCAATATCTTATTGCATTGGTTTGACAAGGTTTTAACTGAAATTTTTTATATAACGAGAATTTAAAAAAAATCTTTTAACTTTTTTTTTAATGTTTAATTAAAATTATTTATATTGTCTTTTTATTTGTTTATGTACTCATTTTTTGGTTGATGTATAAAAATACATAAATTAATAAACAAAAAAACTATTATATAAATATTTTTATTTAGACAATAAAAAAAAAAAGAAAAAACGATTTATTTGCTATTCTCCTAATATAAAAAAATCATTTAGAACCATGTCAAATCATTTTAGCAATTTATTTCTCAGAGAGATTTTATAGCAAGTTAGCTCTCATCAGAAACTCTCTAAGAGCTACCATGGAAGAGGATCGAATTAACGGCTGTCAATATTTTCAATCGAAACAGATTTTGAGAAGAAAGGTAATTACGATATTGTAACTTTCAACTTAGCTGCTAGAAAAGCTCGTAAAGTCTTGGTAACATTAGAAAAACTTGATACCAAACGCAGAAATGTTTTTTTTCTTTGTTGTGTTTAATTGTTTGATTTGTGAACCATCTTAAATACAGAATTTTTAAAATATTTTTTGAATACTAAAAATAATAGCTTTTTAACATTATTGTTTCTATTTTAGTGTTGGTTGGGGGTGGTGGTAGGGGTGGGGCGTATCCAGTAAATTTTTTTATAATATACCCCGGGCATCCTGAAGTCTGTGTGCGCCCCTGGATGAGGATGATGAATTTAAAATAAAATCAGATAATTAAGATTCAAAAGATGCAAGTTGCTTTGTGTTTGTATTTTGATTCCCAATAATTATATTTTTTTATTGTTAAATTTAAGTTTTATTTCAAATAAATTCTAATTTGTTTTTCCCCACTCTCAAGTTTTTTAATTTATCTTTTTTTTTTTTCAATGATAATTTTATTGTACTAAACAATAAAAAATAGTTATTTACAATTTATTCTTCATATTTTAGATATCAGTGTTTTTCAAACTTTTTTTGTTTTTAACCCCTTTTCATTCAAACAAAACATTCAAAGAATGGATATGCGTAGAAAACATCTAAGAGGGAATAGGAGGTGAAAATCATTTACATTCAGAGGGAGTTTATCTTTTAAGTTTAATTACACTGAAACACTTATAATTTTAATTAATAGAAGATTTATTTTTAGTATAAGTAAAAATTAATTAGTTATCTTTGGTATATCTTTAAGAAAAATATTTTGGTATATCTTTAAGAAAAATATCTTATTAAGGCAGTGCTGTTTTGTTTTGATGTTGGTCGTTACTAAAAATGCCATTTTGCACAAATAAGTAGTTGCAAATGGTAAGAGAACATCTATTGCTAATTCAGCGAGTACTGGAAACTTTTAATGTAAAGTTAAAAATAATTGTTTTAAACTGCTTTTTTTAAACTTACTTACTAAACTCGTTTTTAAGCTTTGTATCACAACTAAATTCGGCAAGTTCTTCTTAGTTACTTAATGGAAGATGTTTTACTTGTTCCATTTCTACAAGAAATGATTTTTGTACTCATATAAACATCCAGTATTTAAATAAGTTAAAAAATATTTTTTAAGTTGCTTTTCCATAGATAAAAAATGATCAGTTATTATTTTTTTTATCCTAATTATTTTCTGTGATAAAATCATATGTACTTGAAAATATTATGAGCATGCCATTTTCCACATTTGATTTCCATAACTTTTAACTTTTTAATAAACGAATGAGTTTTATCATACAAAGTTAGCTTATGTTTGCAGCAACATGTTTTATTTATGTTTGCAGCGACATGTTTTATTTATGTTTGCAGCGACATGTTTTATTTATGTTTGCAGCGACATGTTTTATTTATGTTTGCAGCGACATGTTTTATTTATGTTTGCAGCGACATGTTTAGCTTATTTAGTTTCTCGAACATGTCTGACAAATAACACAATTTGCAAGCCCAAATTTGAATGTGGAAGAGATTTAAAAAATTGGACTTTGTTTCTAATAAAATTTGCATTACCTTATTTATCAACCCATTTTTTCCTTTGACAACCACCTTCTGTATGTAGTAAAAGCTTTTCATAATCCGCTTCCATATCGTTACATGAATTTGTAAACGACTATTAGGTGCATGGGGTTTTATCAAATTTATAAAATGTATGACATCATTTAAGACCACATAATCTAATGATATTTTTTTTAGCTACTAGCACTTCTCGATGAATAATAGAATGGGTAAACATGATATGTCTGTTTGTAATAGATTTAACATACATCAATACAGTTATTCCAGTTCCATCTTTTTTCTTTGTATTTCTTTTTTCTGTTTTATAACTTTTTATTGGGCGACAAAACCTTAATTTATATTAAAGGTGTGGCTGCATCAAACATAAAGAGATAATTGAGTTAAGTTTGTAATATCTGTCGATTCAACCAGCTGAATTACATATTTCAAGATTTCTTCAATTCTCTGTATAAGTTGTTGAAACTGATTGCAGCTAATATCTGAAATCCATCTTGTTTCTGCAAGAGAACCTGCTTGAGATTTAATAAGTATAAAAAAGTGTAAAAGTATAAATAAGTATAAAAATTTTACACCGACCTTTTTTATACTTATTCCCTACCTTTTATTCCCTACTTCAGTATTTTTTAATGAACGGTAGAATAATAACTATATACATATAGAAAACTATACATATTGTTTACCTTTTAAAGTTATGACAGGGCCGACGACACTCCTACGGGCATTTATTTTTCAAAGTTACGTTCTAAATGTCTTTTAAACGTTTTTTAAACGTCTTTTAAACGTTCTTTACGTAAGAATGTTTAGAAGACGTTTAAAAGACATTTAAAATATATTTAGAACGTAACTTATAAAAACAAATGCCCGTTGGAACGGGTTTCGAAGTGGAGGAGGGGGGGTACAATCATCAATTTGTAAAAAATGTCCTTTATATCTAGATTTTTCTTTAACAAAAAAAAAGGTCTATAATATCGTATAATACGGGTCATAGTAAGTAAGTTTAAATGTAAAATAGATTTTACATTTAAACTTTTATTTTTTCAAAATCATTTAAGGGGTGAGTGTCCTAATAAGCTGTGGATGATTTGAAAAAAACATGAGTTCGGAAAATAAAGAAAAAAATTAATAGGCCCGTCGCCGGTTTTTTTTTTTAATAGTTATACAACTTTATGCAATATGTATTGTAATATATGTATTGTATTGTATACATTATATTATATAACAATATGGTTTTCTAAATGTATATAGCTATTAATCTACCGCTCCCTAAAAATTACTGAAGGAATAAGTATAAAAAAAATCGGTGTGTAATCGACTCACAAAGGCCCTTATTTTACGGGTCTTGGTACAGTTAGTTACTTAATAATTTTCAAAGAATCGTGGTGAATATTTTTGTGCTGGAAACAAACGTTGAATTTAGCGATTTAATCGATTTTATTTGTCTATGGATAAAATTATAAAAGTTTCAAATTGGAAAAAAACCAAAATGATTAATTTCTCTAAACAGGAATTTTTGAGTTAACGTTTTTTGCAAGTATACCCACGATATAAAAGAGTACAAAAAAACTTTTGTGGTGTTTTTAAAATATTTTTAAATATGTGACCCTGAATACTCCCTCCCTCCCTTACCCACTATGCACTTATTTATTTTGTTTTTAATTAGAATCAAGTTCCACACTAATTGATATCCGACTTGACACTTACTTTTTATTGATTACAAATATATATAAAATCAAAATTTTTAAAATACTAGATTTTTTGTCATTTTGATGGGCGTGGGATCCATTAAATTTAATTTATAGATTCAAATTCCATAAAATTTTTACATTATTTTTTTTAGCAATATCGTTATATTCTTCAAAATGACACTGAAAATTTAAACGCGCTTGTTGCTGATTTTGTAAATGGTTTTAAAAAAAAGCTTCCTGGTGAAATGTTGTAGTTATATTTTGATTTGTTTTTAAAATAGTTTTTATGGTTTTTGCTATATACTGTATTTATTAATTTTAATGTTATATTGTTCTTAAAATTAATGTCTAGAAAAGTGGTTCTTAAACCTTTTATTTTTTTCGCGGTATACTTTTGATATTTTTAAAATCTTGCGGCTCATAAGGAATACCGGGTGCCCCAGCAACTGCGTAGTACAACTTTTTAAGGCCCCTGCAACTAATTATGGATATCTGTAGCACTGCTTGTTTTTTTTTTTTGTTTTTTTGAGACATAGCAACATATAAAAACAAGTAACGTAAATATTCTGAATATTCAATAAAAAGTGGAGGCAAAGAAAACAAAAAGTCGAATAATATTGGCTTTGCTTCAGTCGGGTAAAACTGCTACCGAGTTTTAGTACTGAAGTGATCAAAAAAGTGCTAATTTTCGTGTAAAAAAATTTTTTAATGAATCTAAAGATTTAAAATGGTTTAATACACCGCGACAAAAAAACAAAAAAAATTATCAATTGGTCAAGAAAAAAATTAAAAAAGAACCAATTTGCTCTACGCGCATTCTAGTCTAAAAGTCAAAGGTATCAAATTCTACAATGCAAAAGGTAATGAAAGCCCTTTACCTGAAATTGAGAGCTGCAGTGACAATGCACTTAATAACCATAAGTCAAAAATAAAAACGATGCAAAAAGCTTTTAAAATGAGCAAAAATCACATATCGCGAGGTTAGAATTATTTTGTTCTATCTCCACTTTTTGAAAAAAATAAGTTATTAATTGTGTCATGTACCTAAAAATATTGTTTTTCTACTATATTAAAAATTTAAAGTTAAAATTTTAAAAAGTTAAAATCAAAAAAGTTTCGGAGAAAACATAAGTAATAAAAACTTTTTTATATGACGTCTCCTAAAGTTTTTATTTTTTAAATCGTTTTATCTCGAAACAAAAAAATGTGGAGATAGAACAAAATAATTCTAACCTCGCGATATAATAATTCATCACCTTTTTGCTGTTGAACATATATTCACAGTAACAAAGTAGTTAATCTGCAAAACACAAGGTATATAAGCACTGACAAGGTTAAATATGTTGCAGACCACATTTAACATGCCTTTAAAATAAAACATCCAGCTCTGTAATGATCCTGAGTGTCATTGAAACTAATGGACTGTCATGCTCTCCTTTTTTTCGATGAAAATTTTTTCTTAATTGACAAATTTAATTGACTCAGCGCAATACATAAATTAACTCAAAAGTTGTTTCCTGGATAAAAAAAAACATACCCGAAAGGTAACTATGTGTTTTAGCAGGATGGTATACTTACTCATACCTCTAAAAAATCTTAACGGTACCTTTGTGATACAATGGTGCATTTCTGGGATAAGTCAATGTAGTCCCCTTCAAAACCAAACTTTAAACCCGTAATGCTATTTTGTGTGGATGGCTGTTAAGGAGGCGTATGTAAAATACACAATTACATTGTAAAAGCTTTATAACAATCTCCTGAGGATGGGTATTACAGCTACTACCATCAATGCCTGACGGTCATTTCAAGCTCGACTTCAACAATTCTATGATAGTGTTGGAAGTTTGCTCTATTGATTAAAAGAAACTTGATTTATTTAGACTAAATTGTTCAGAAATTGGTCAGAAAACATGTAATCATATCTTGCTTTAGGCGACAAATTTCAATTAGCAATTTTATTAGTAAAATGTTTTTGAATTCTTCCACTACTTTGTTCATTTCAGTGCGGTTTGGTGACCAAACCGGAAATCGATATTTTAAGATCGGCCATATGTAAGTTGTGTAGTGTATTCTGTAATAGCTTTATAAATTCAGCCAAAAATACAAAGATCTAATCCAACAGCAAACTGCTTAACAATTGTATTTACTTTATCTAGGAAACTAACCATGACCGAGCGTACCTTAAGACTAGAACTTTAAGATTAGATACTTTGAGACAATGACCTTAAGAATATAATTTTTTTGTAATTTAATAAAGTAGAAGTTTTATTTACTTGTTTAAATTTTAACTAAATGCTAAAATGGTTGAAGAGTAGCTGAAAGTAGTTATTTCGGTTTAAGAAAATATTTAGGGCAGGGTAGGACTTTTTAAGCATGAAGCAGGTTAGACAATTAAAATATTTCGAAAACTACGTGTAGTTTTTTGTCATTTTTACTTATGTTTCTAAATAAAGAGTCCAAAATGTTTAAACCTATTGGTTCATACTCTTTGGTTTCATCATATTGTTAAAGGCAAAGCAAGGTGGGCAACGTTTTGAAAGACCTGAATTATTGCAAAACTATCAGTCATCAAGCTATAATACTTTATAAGTTTTGCTTATTTTATCATAATAGTTGATTTCCTATACGAACTTTCAGTTTGCAAGTAGAAAAATTTGTAAAAGTTTGTAAAGTTCGTTAATTTGTCATTTGGTCACGTGATCGGACAAAGATGACTTGTTATGCGTTTTTGTCTCCAATCATACAAACCTAAAAAATGCTCGCTACTCTAACTAAAGTAACATAAAATAAAAATGAGTCGCAAAAAAATACATAGAAATTATCTAAAAGAAACCAATTGGTGTTTTAAAATACTAGGTATAAATACAGTTTTGTTTCAACCAGTTTTTAAATTTTTTTGTTGAGTTATTATATGAAAACTTGCCTCGTTTTCCCCTATATATATATATATATATATATATATATATATATATATATATATATATATATATATATATATATATATATATATATATATATATATATATATATAAATACAGTAGGAAAAAAAATAAATGGCACAAATTTTTTTTTCCCATGCTTCAACTATGGCTGCTTTTAGATCATTTTGTTTTCTGTAAGCTTGATCTTCAATTTTCTGGTCTAGAATGTACCACAAATGCTCAATCGGATTAAGGTCAGAGGACTAGGCAGGCCATTCCATCACATTAATATCATTTTTTCAAAAATATTACTTTGTTGCTGTAACAGAATGTTTTGGATCATTGTCTTGTTGAAAGACGAAGTTATTTCCGAATCTAAATTTATGAGCAGAGGGCTTTAAATTTTGCTTTAGTATGTCTATATACGAATTGGGGTTGATTTTTGATTCAATGAAAGTCAATTTGTCAGCTCCTCGCCACGCCATTGATCCCCACACCATGACGTTTCCGTCACCATGTTTTACTGTCCCTCTCATGCAACTCAATTAGTATGCCTCGCCTTTTTCGCCAAACTTTTTTCTGTCCATTTGATGAGATCAGGTTAAATTTGGATTCATCACTCCAAACTTGTGCTTCCAGTACTCAATAGTCAACAAAAAACTTTTATATATTACTTTGCGATTTTTTGCCGCTTTTTTCAATAAAAATGTTTGTGCACGTGTTTTTAGATAAAAAATCAAATAAAAATGCTTGTTTTTAAAAATTATTTTATTTTTTCCATTTTGTAATAAAATTTTGAGTTCATAGTGCGCCAATAATAACACCTGTAAAAAAAGAACCTCCCTTTAAAATTTGATGTAAATCAAAGCAAATGCAACCTTTGGCCGCACCAAATCAGGTTAAAATTTATGGCAGTATAAACTAAAACTGCCATTAAAATTTTATGGCAGTTTTAGTTTATACTTTGATATTCGTTTTTTGTGATCTTCGGTCGCTATTTTTGAAATAATGGTTACATAATTGTTCTACTATGTAGCAGCAACAATATTTATTATAGCTATTTTATTGGCACATGCACCGTTTTCATTTTATAGACCAAAACTTTAATTTAAAATTTCAAAATATTGACCAATAATGTATTAGTCCAACCAACATCAATTGAGAGCTTTGATAGAAAGCGTTGTTAGTTGTTTTTTTAAATAATAATGTTGCAAAAAGTATCTTCAGAGAATAAAACATTAAGTGGTAAAAAAAAAAAAATCAAGAGTTTTGACAGACAGATAATAATAAAAAAAAATAACTTTAATAATAATATCAATAAAAAATCACATAATGAGGATTTTTTTGTAGTTGATTTAACAAAAAAATGCAATTCTAATTTAAAATTAAGAATAAAAAAGGGGGATTTTTGATTGCATTCTTGTTTCTAAAGAATTATTTAAACTTATTTGATATGAAGATATTTGTTAGTTTGTTTTCACCGCTATTGTTGTCTAAAAGAAAGTATTCTTCAAGTAAATCTAGTGCAATCTCTTATAATTTAGGCTTTTCGGAAGACACGTCAGTTAACTTCTTATTTGTCTTTTCTTCTTCCACAATATCTTGAAGATTGTTTTTTGTTTCAATGTGTATGTGAACCAACATTCCAAATAGCAATCTACAAATCAACTAATATTCTAGACCTTATTATTACAAACGATAAAAACAAAGTTGTTTCTATCACTCACTCAACTCCTGTAGGGAATATCAAACTTGGTCATTATTTATTAAAGTGTTGTTATCTAATGAATGATAATAAGTCTTCTAACGAACATAAGAAATCCATTAGATTATATCAAAAAGGAAATTATGAATTATTTTCTCGTCATTTCAATAATGTAGATTGGGAAAATGGATTTAAAAGTAAATCTATAAATGATATGTATGATTTATTTTTGTATCATTACAGTTATAAGAACTAAATACAATATATGGCTTGCTAATAAACGTAATGACTGGAATGAGGAATCAACAAAAACTCAGTATAATAAGCTAAAAATTAGATTAAAGGATGATATTAAGAACAATATAAAACAATTAGAAAGTACTATAGCTAGCAAGTTTAAATCAAATCCTAAATTGCTTTATAAATATATCAATGAGAAGAAATCAGTGAAAACTCAAATTCGAGCCCTGGAAATTGATAATGGGGAAATCATAAATGATCAATTCGCTTTAGCTAAAACTAAACAAATGTTTTCATTCTGCGTATGATAATGATAGTTGTACAAGTATTATTGAGTTTCATAATGTCTTCAAATTTATTACTAAACACAGTTTTAATAACATAAAATGATGTTCAAACTAGACTTCAAGCACGTGATAAATTGAAATCGGTCAGTTTTGATTTTGTTCATCCTTATGTTTTAAAAGAATGCAGCTCGTCAATATCATACCCATTATATTTA